GGGTGGGGATACCTGATGGACCGAACAAACGCAAGCAGGCGAAGAAGTTAAAGGGGATTATCGAGTCATCGGCACTACCAAACCCGTTCGCCATGGATAATTCCAGATCAGTCAATGAAACGAGACGTTGACCGTGGAAAGACGACGGTGACGTCGTCGTCGTCGTCCCACGTTCATTCTCGAACGTTGAAAATTGAGTCAAATAAGACAGCTTGGTAAAACCGCGCTACACGCGGTTTTCTGCAGCGATGCCTTGTCCCGATCGTTACTTCAGATACGGATTGAATTCAATTAAACGCGGCTGTAGCATTCGCGAATGCACAGGGTGTCCCAGAGTAATTTTTTAATTAACAGACTATATTTGATAACAAAAGAAGAGGAGTTCTTTTTCGGAAAAACTTCGAGATTCATAATTTGCTGTGGCGTTAAATACCTAGACAATTAAATGTCGATTTCCGGGAGCGCAAGTTTCATTGAAATTTAAATGATTCAGAAGTTCAAGCCGTAAATATCTTCAATTTTAATTGGCGATGAAAAAAGTTATCAATGTCTTCATATCTTAATTAAAAAGTGATCGAACGTGTTCGAAAAATCTCATTAAAATTAGGATCGAGGATTCCGCGACACCCCGATATCCGCGATAATCATGGGATTTATGAGCTTGTCGATCTATCGTGTCCGACGCGGCGTAAATAAACAAGGCCGCGTCGCCGAACACGGGTTCCTTTATCAAAAGCCGATCGTCCGGGCACTCGCTCGCGCCTACCAAGGTTCAGTATCTTGATCGCCTTGAAGAATCTGTCCTCGCCGCTGAGGTCCTGCGCCGGCCGCTTGCTACAGTGGTACTTGACGTACGGGAAGCAGCCGGTCCTAAGTACGTGGTAATTGCTGCTGCCCGCCGGCCAATTGAAGTGTGACATTCCCCGCTGATCGTTCACTACGTCGGCGTAGCGGACGAAGTACGACGTCCACGGGGGCTCGCCGGTTTGCAATAGGTAGCTCGTTAAGACCTGCCGCAATTGCAACGGGCCATTTTGTAATAGCCGGCTGTCGAGGAAGTATCCTTGTACAGGGATCATCGCGAGCACACGTGACAAAAGTCACGACCGTTACACACCGTTACGTTCCTTCCCGAACTCGTCGACTCGTTAACATCGCCGTCAAGCGGCTGGCCTTTCGTAAAAAGAAATTAACCCGTCGCACTGTGGAAGCATCGACTCGGGGGGGGATTTAAGAGTCCAAGCGTGTTACTCAAAGTTGGTTGGCCAGCTGCTAATGTCGTTTCTCAGCACGCGCGATCATATTACTTGTATATTTGCCGTTTCACGTTACCCGTAAGAGACGGGATTAAATTGCACCGGCAGGAGTAACTTAGCACCGCGGTAAAGTAAGATCCTGGATCTAGTCAATGTTGAAAAAAACAATCGATAAGCTATCCCGTGAAATTCAATTTTACCACAACTCCAAATGTATATTTTTATCGGTAAATGTAAACCAATTTTTATTACGCGATGAAAATTAAAATAGCCTTTGAATAAATGTGAAGATCGATAAATATGAGTTTTTTGTAGCAAAAATGTATTTAATTTTGAATTGTGTTCTGATTTTATTACCAATGTAGAAGCTAGCGACTTATTTTGCAATTAAAAATAGAAATATCGAGATGATAATTCCTCCAGATAAAACATTCACCGCGAGCTTGGTTAGAATACTCGGGAAAAGTCGAGCAGTTAAAGTTGGTAATCGCAGCGCGGAAAACACCACGTATTCCCGATGCTCGAAGCGATGGATTCTCGGGGTACTGTTCGACTGGGAAGATCTGTGAAATTATCACGGTCGTGCGATCGCAAAATGCCGCGGGAATGGAAACACGCGAAGTGTAACACGGACGTACATTGTTACGTAAGAAAGTGTCCGGGGAAAGTACGCGCAAACTCCTGGGAAAAAGATTTCTCTCGAACCGATAGAGAAGACAACGGTGGGATAATTAAGGGAGCGGTCAAATTAATTAATGAGAGACCCACTAACCTCTGACGCCAATGGTTTGTTCTGCTTACTGAGTATTTTCGTCCAGAAATTAGCATGTCCCGTCTTGAGCAGCGTTTTTCGTCCGATTTGTGGTTTGACGATCATGATGGGATTTAATTGATTTCTTAATCAAATCTGTCGGGTTTTCGTTGATCTTAAACTCTGCAGAATAATAGCGATTTTCCCACTGAAGAAATTGCGAAAAAAAAATGGAGCAATAGGAAGCGTATTAATATATAAAAACAACTATATTGCTGAAGCGTTCAGAAAAACATCTTCATTAAGAATCAGAATTATGAGAACTGATAAAAATGAATAATTAAGTCTGATATCTAAAATAGAAGAAAACTTTTTTGAGCTCTGTTTCTTGATAAAGAATTTGAATCACAAACAATTTTCGAGTTAATAAGTTAATAAGTTATTAAAAGTTCAGAGATTTTGATAAATTAAACTTTATACAAAATTGAATTTCTGATAAAATCATTAACTAATTCCAAGCACATTTAGCTTTGCTAGAAATTTAACTACGGCCTGATTATAAGAATATTCGATGCAAAAATTAAAAGCTTGTAAAAAAACAGCTTCTAATTAAGCTTCTATTGAAAAAATAAATACCACACTTAGACACTCGTAGTTGAGGAATTGAAAGGAGCGGTGATGCATTTAAGATGCACAGGAGGAGACGAGAATAAATAATGACAGAAGTAATCGCATCGTGCTCAGTAGTGTCATTTATCGACCCGCGGGGTGAGAATTCGTCACAGCGTGTTCTACCTTTCTAAAATAAACGCGAGGCGTGAGTCGCTCAAAATGTCAAGGTTAACGAGGTTCAAGCGATCGTGGAAGCGATCGTGTCCCGCGCGGTACGTTAGCATTTCTGTCTTTTACGCGTGTTCGCGCCCGAGCGTCGGAATGAGTAACAACGTAATTAATGGTGCGCATCAACTTTTGCACATCAGCGTGTGTGAATTTGCCGCCATGCGGTTTTGATTGCTTCATCGAGGTAGTTCCATCGCGAAGTTCCAGGAATACCTTGAATGACGGGTGTCGTAATTGCGAAGTCGAATGGTATGCGCCGTTATTTGCGCAATATGATATCGTATTTGCGATGAAAGCGCTTATTTTTGTCACTGATTTAAGTAAACAGTTGTTTGACTGGAGATTACTGATCGTATCGCGGAATGCTGTTCACTTTGTAACGCGCAAAATTCAGTTAGGGGCAGGATTGTTTTCATGAGTACCGATTGTGAGTGAATACATCTGATAGTAGTCAGACGGTTGAAATCGTGTAGATTGAATCTTAATCTCTTATTCGCGCTCTACAATAGAACGGTAATCTTCCGATCTAATTCCTTTTAATTTTTAAAATTGCATTTGAAGAACCGCATTGTTAACATAAATATAAAACCGACTCGGTGCAAGTGAAATTTGTGGCATAGTTGAATACTTTTGATATAGCTATTTCACCAATTTCCAAAAAATGTATTTATAATTAATACTCTCATTGATAGATAATTTCATAACATATGCAATCACTCACGTATTTGTAACTTTTGCATCGATAAGTATTCTTAATAAATATTTGTAAAAAAAAATGAGAAAATTGAGGTACTTATGTAAAACTTATTTTCATAACAGTGATTACTCACTCTTTCACGCGTGCGCGAGACCTTCGCGTTGGCGAGCAGATGGCTGCTGAGACAGCAGACTAGTGGCATTGGATCCGTTGACGGTGTTGCTAGCACGTTGTATCTTACGACTTGGTACAAGCGCCACACACATCAACGCTTGATTTTATGTGTATTCTTGCTAATGTGATGTATATAATTATTTTCTTCCGCGATTTGATACAAAACAAAGATGCAATATTACGCAGCATATGCGAGTGATTGCGTTGTCGGCGTGAAACTCACGAGCGCCGCTGCCGTGAAATATCGATTCTGTGTGGCGGTCTTTTCAAAGAAAGATGTTTTACGTCTATTCTTCTTTGAGCTTTTTGTACGATCTTTGTAAAAAATATTAAAAGCAAAAAATAAGATGTTACAATATTTGAGTTTAATTTGTTGCATTTGAAAAATTACTCTAAATTTTTATATTTTATATATTTCATATTTTTGCTTTTAAGATGCAAATGTCTGAAAATGATATTACAGTTATTATAAAAAAAATGTGTTTAATCTCAAGTCAATCCCACCCATCCAATCTGATTTAAGATTACATACACATGTGTGTCTTCTTCAAAAGTAATATGTGTAAAAATAATATGTGTAATTTCAAGTCAACCACCTATTCACACCCTGAGATTATATATACGCTGACGAGGACATTGCCAACGTAAAAATACTTCTAATTATTTATATGAATTCCACATCGCACGTACAACCGTATTTCATGTCACTCTAACTCTCACATCCCGACATTATATTTGAATGAATTAGTAAATGAGTTCCTATTTCATTTTGGAATATCCTTTACATTTTAATTATGCAATATATCCTTCAAAAGCTTAAAATGCAAGTCAAGATTACAATGTCACAGGATAATTTGTTGCAAATGCGTTTCATGTACCACCGCGACGGGGATGCAGCGCTATCCCATAATTCTCGCGCGACAGGCGTGGCGGTCCTCGCCGAAGCGTTCTCTTTAATAAACTGTCCAATAATAGATCATTAGAGAACGTAGATGAGAAGCCCCCTTCTAAGCATTTCCAGGTGGTAAATATATCGCCGCGGTTTCGCGCCGTGAGGTCAGACTGTCAAGCAGCAGCCTTGACGGGTTATCATTCTCAACGAACTTACGGTACATCTTGTTCCCCCTTTCCTCTTTTCTTCTTTTGTCAGGTTTACATCGACTTCATAGGCACAAATGTCTTTTCCAAGACTAGCAAAGCGTCTTGATGTAACATTTAAATAATTTAAATAATTATTGATCAGTAGAATAATGTGACGTTAAAATATTATAAAATAACATCGCTATATGTATCAAAAGTAATATTTTGATACCGTTAGATTTCTACAAAATCGCTAAGATAACTTTACATAAAATAAAATAAGCTAAGTGACAGTATTTGAAAAAAAAGGTAATTCTTTCATTTCAAGGATTATTTGCTTATTTTACAATAGAGCATTATTGTACTCCCGATACTTTCAAAGCCCACCACGTGCTCCGTGTACTAATTTCGTCGCTCGCGTGACCTATAAATTTTTTTTTCCCCTGTTTTTCACGATAAAAGCACTCCCTGATATTGTTTTCCGCCGCCGGTAGATACGTTATCGATTCGGAGTGAACTAGTTATTGCAGTTACGCGCACACACACATGTAAAGGTCGAAGCGTGCCAGGTCGACAATGCCGACGGTGCACTTCCGGAAACGTGATTTATCGCGTTTATCAGCGTCCGATTTGCGCGTGACACGTTTCGCCGCCTGATTTGGAGTAACGCGGCACGACCGAGTTAAACAAACATAGCGTTTCTAGACTGTCAACGAGATATTAACAAATTATAAATCTCGTTTATCTAATTGTCATTTGAAGCGGCGGAATAACTGCCCTGGAAAGTGGCATTATAATCCTCGCGATCATTGCATTTACGTCCGTTAATAATTCGGACAGTATTGTGAATCGTTATCTCTGATGTGCTCTTTATGCATATCTCTGATGTGCCTTTATGGGCACGCACGTATCACTTTCATCAGCTCGAGGCCTGAAAGCGGCCTCGAAGAGGCCTAAGAGTGGCATGGCGTTACTATCGCATCAAATGGGGTTACTTTCGCGTTTTTGTTTTATAGATTCATTAAAATGTTTTAGCATTCAAGCAATAATTACACAAATTTTCCCAACAATCATTTCACGCGCATCCGTGGTTTTATCAGCGACAATGTATTGTACAGTGGAAAAGGGATGATTCCAGTCAGATGAGATCGCGCGAGAATATGTAAAAAAATTAGATCGCGTCACCTTTTGCCGATCCGACGCAAAAAACCGACATTTGCCGATGGGTAGCGCTGCGATTACATCGCGCTTAATCGAGTAGAACGTCATAAAGGCAGCAGCTTTTCCCCGTCGAGATTCATTATCAGGCGACGTATCCGTCCGCGCGCGAGAAGACGAGCGAAATGTAATATATTCACGTTCACGTACCGGATGTTTCAAAGGCGCGCAAAAACCGCTAACTAATTCTTGAAGAGAGCGCGAGGTGTCTTGAAACGAACGTCGGATATTATTCACGGGGTCTCGATGCTATCCGCAGTCGTGGAGCCACGAAACTTGAAATTACTTCAACTTTACAGAAATGATATTGAAATATTTCAACATATATTAGTTTTCTATTTCTAATTCGTTCTATTTCACTCGCGGCGATTATGCTACTACGTCTGCAACACTCTGTACAATTTAATATTTGACATCTTTGATGCAAACTGCTGTTCAATCAATGTCTTTGCGACGATGATGAGGAAGCGTGAGCAAAATCTCTCGCCGCAATAACCGTACGTCAAAGTACGGCTTTTTATTCCGTTTCACGACGGTCGATGATGTCCGCGAGTTCTCCTCTCACTGTAATATACAATATTTTAGATAAATGATCCCCCCTCCTCCCCCTTTATGCGTGACATCCTTCGGTAATTCAATTTCTTCGTCGCTTCGTCGACGCTCTTGAAACCACCGATACGACATTCATTCTCGCACTCTACACGCGCGAATATTACGCACGCGACTCGCACTTATGCGTCCCACATACGTATCGCAAATGTGAAATATACGGCGTGTCTCGTCGCGCATACGCATTTGTACGATGATGCACGGCTGGAGATGTGTGCTGGCTATTTCGTCGCGAGTCTACGATTTCCGCGAGATAAACGTTGTAACGGCCGTTCGTTACATCGCGTCGCCCGTCTTGTCGCGTCTCTCGGAGTCGCCGGCGAGTCGTCCGCTCCTTCATTATACGCGACGCGCGTTGCCGCGCGCGCCGCACGTATAATCAGGCGGATTTTTTAGCCGCGGGTGGACGCATATACGACGACCTAACGGGATCCCGCATTGGGCGTTTACGCATAAACATTGTAGGATATCTGATCTGTTCCTTTACACGCTGTTTATGTACACAAATCACGCGAAACAGAGAATACTGTTGATATTAATCTGCAAATGTGATACGAGCTTTCGATATCGCTTTTACGTTTATTAAAAAGAAGAAAAATATAAAAAAAAATTGAATGAAAAAATTAAGCGGAAAGAAAATAAAATCTAATATATTTCAGTAAACTTTGTCGAAAAGATTTATCAAAGCAGTACAAAAGTGATGCGTATTTTATCATATTTCTCCATTGAAGCTATAAATACGGGCTTATATGGTGGTAAGAGAAATTTCACGGAACATTTCTCACGGTTTAGGGACGATGTTGTTTGCACTTTCTCCGAAGGGTTCTTTATTCTCGCACAAGTTTGCCCACTATATCGCTTTGAACCCATTTATTACTATCTAACGACCATAAATTAGAATTTCGTTTCCTTGCGGTGATTTAACTGCGATTCGAAATTGAAGAGAGCCGCATTACCATAATCTAAAACACGCCTTCCGGCTGCACGAAGTAATTTGTCGAGAGGTCGGCTCCGATTCCGACCATTGTGACTGGATATAACATAGAAGGATAGCGATGTTCCGTTTCTTTTAAAAGTTATTCTTTTAGTGCGCGCGCGCGCGCAATTTACAGCAAATCTATCGTTAAGCGTATTAATTTTGATTTCGGAGTCGACTGCAAAATAATTAAATTATAATTTCATCAGCAATTTTTTAATTATTTAATTAAAAATAGAAAAAATTAAAATTTTAATTCACGTGTAATTTCTAATATGTCTACAGCGGAAAAATTGAAAAATAGTTATCGACAATAGAATTTTCTGTAGACACACGGTCGTATATTATTCTAGAAGGATTGAAGAAGGAAGTCCTTCTCTCCGCATAAGTGGAAAGAACAAAGTCGACGAATAGAAATTGCGCGTTTGCATAATGAAGTTTCTCGTCAAGGACTTAATGGTTCGACTCGCCAGCGTGCGGCATGGACGCGCAAGTCCTTTTTTGTTGGCGCTTGCGGTGTCGATGCGGTCCGCGGTCTCGGAACAGAATCCAATAAGAGAACAGTAGGCAGATTCAGTTTCTGCGGCCTGTTGCCCGATCCTTATTCTCCCGGTTTCTCTTTTTCGCGGCGGCGACGGCGGCGGCGGCGGCGGCGGCGGCGGCGGCGGCGGCGGTGGGAGCGAGCGTTACCCTTCGGCTATGTACCGTTCCTCAAGTATTACCCTCTCGAAAAGAACGGCGGCGAGTCGTGAGCTCTTTCTCTCACGGTTGTTCGCCGGCCAGCACGTTGCCGCCTTCCGGTTCGACGAACGGAATTATCATTTTATCGATATCGAGAGTCTATCGTCGTTGTACGGGACTCGCCGGACGAGCAGTGCTTCGTATCGGTTTCATATTGGCGTGGGAGAGTCGTTCATGACGTACACGCCGTAAAATTAAATTGACCGTCCAATTACAAAAATATAAGAAACGTTTAAAATACACCTGAAGATCGTTTAAAAAATTAAAGCGTTTTAAATGTAAATTTTTTATATAAAAAAATTTGTATACTCTTCAGTTATTACTTCAGATCTGTTCATTTCTGTTCGGAGTTGAGTGAAAATCACTTCAATAATAAAATTTTTCTATGAAAAATTGTCTTGACAATTTTTTATAGCGAAAATTGCCCCGATAATGAAATTTCAAATTATTTCAAATGGAGAAGATATGCATATTCTGAAACGTGGAATGATTTAGTCAACACACATATCTTATTGACGCAGTATGATTACATTTGGGTTGTATCGAATGTCGATAACATTTACACTGTTATTAGACAATATACCTCGAGCTTTTGCGAGGAAGGAACCAGTATTGATTCGCACACATATTCGACTTTACAATGACGTTATTACACCATTGATTAAAATGTAACGAATGCAAATGCAAGTGCGTATGAATATAGCTTAT